CGTTTAAATGGCCACTACCTTGTTGCACACGTGATGTAGCTAAATGGGCCACTTTTCCTGCACATTGATAGCACGGGCATGGTGACAGGATCCGGAATGATTGCGTAATCGAGTACGTATCGTTTGTAATAAGTGTGCGTTCAGTCGGGCGTTTTATTCAGGCGGTTGTGTTGCGTACAATTGTGATATTTCATAACAGACTAGCCTTGACGCCAGCGATCTTCTGACTCCAGTTAGCATCTGGATGTTTTACTTTTTAAAGGCAGAATCGTGTGTTTCCCTAGAGGTACACTGAAATCCTTAGTCTCCCTTCACTTTAGCTCAATTTTTACCTAAGTCCAGCCGTATTGAAATTAGCACATGATGAGTGTTAACAGGTTGGATGTTATCATTTATTTCCATCCTTTGTTTAGTTTGAAATCTAGGTTTATTAGTTCTATTTATTTACCTCATGAGATGTATGAAGTGCACCTAGACTTTATTCGAACTGTTTTGGATACATTTCGGTGCAACTCATTCAAAGTTTACAAACATTTCTTCAATGAGAATCCAGAGTATCTTCAAACTCCAGTTTAATCCTGACAATATCCAACACATATGTGGTCCTTACTGTATTGTCTTCTACTCAAGCTCTGAACATGCACCCTCACCCTATGCTACCAGTCAGAAATTCCGGAATCCCAACTTCAACCCAGGATAGTCAAAACATTACTCGAGACAGTGGTAGATCCAGCGACTAATCACAGTACTCGGAGTGCCATTGTCTACCTAAAATAACCACTTTCGAGTAATAACAGGTAAACTGCTTCACTAAGCCATACAAACGTGATTACATATTGAGAGCACTGTAATGAAGATAGTTTTAGAAATATATTCCATTTGACTTGAGTGCAAGGTAATCGAGATCTTCTTACAACCGACTTATCGATAAAACACTCAAATATTGTAAATCTAGGTAGTCCAAACACTGGAGGTGTGATTTTATGTGAAATAGTCTACAGAAAGATGACAATTTAATTTTTAATTGAGAGAACCACATCGTAGTGCGACTCAACGACAGAGTTGATCAACTTGCGAATAAATGGAATTAATTAGAAAATGGTAAGTAATCAAAAGTTCTCAATAATTCTTTGGCCGCTTTGACTTTTATAATACGTGTTTGTATTTTTAAGGGCATATGACTGAAAGCGAAAACAAAACAAAAAATTGTGTTTATTAACGTTGTTCGGTTTAGCAACAAATTACTCTGAATATACAATTAATTAAGCAAAGTGCTCATGTATGTGTTACTATGGTTACCCAAAATTGAACAGACCACAGTTCCACCTACACTCTGATTGGACCAGAAAGAACTCATTTTAGTGTGATCTGTATAGTTAGTACACTGTCAACCAGTCACGTAGCTGATAGTTTCATTCAACTTGATTCACTCATTAGCAAGTCTTATGTGACTGGTTGGTGTATTTATCCAAAAAGTATGTAAATGCCCAAACGAAAAATCTTTGAGTACAAACTTTTATATCGCACTTGCAAGCACGAGAAGCCGGTGTTGATGCAATGTGTTCTCTCAAATTCTCCGATATTCTTCTATGCTTCCTGATAGCAACAGTCCATGCCAGAAATTCACAGACTAGTCTGGACTCACGACTAAGACAGGTAAACGTGCTATTTCAGACAAATTTGGGTTGTACTGTTTCTAGATATTTTGATCATACATTCTTGTCCGGTTTTGTATGGGAGTAAATAGCTTTTTGAAGTTAACGTATACTTTCTGTTTGGTGAAACATTCACTTGCGTTCAAACTGATTCTTTCTATCTATGAATCGTAGTCATCAAAAATACTAGTCCAATAAACAATAAAGAGAAACTAATTATCTCAATATTGTCATCTACTTAGATGACATATTATGTTCCAGGAATACATACACATTAAAGACAAAAAATTGGTGGTCTGGTTTCTAGTAGACATTAACTGAACGTTTCTCACTTGTGTTACTAGATTTTGCTTTAAGATGGATTTCTCAGCCAGCCCACTTCAAAAGAATTGCTAACTTCTAGTTTCGCACTCATTAGTGCTTGTCAGTAACGCACATCATTATCACGATCGAGATTTGAAGTCTGTTCCATGTTCTATCAAGGCAATCGTATTGCCAGTTGTTTCTGACCTCGCCGGATAGTTATACACAGACGCTCAACAACAACGGCTTATGAGTGCTGATCAACTTGTTCGCTTATCTCGAGAGGAGACAGAACTACCTTGTTGAAACAAATTGATAACCCCATGCTCAGGACTCCTTAGTTGGGTCGAATTCGTTGAGTTAATTAAGCCCACTGAAAATTGTTTTAATTGTTGATAAATATTCTAGAAGTTTGATAAACACAACTTAGACATCACAGCCGCTTAATGGTCAACACGACTGCTCTATGAAAACTTGAGCTAGTGTTCACATCTTTGTTGTTGTAAAGTTATTTGCTTTAACCATAAGCTTTAGTAATTTGTAACTCTACTGTAGTGCTTAGTTCCGAGAAGGGCTTGTCGGAACTTCTGTATGAATTGTGAGTCGTATTACGTACCTATCGACCAACAATGAAAACTTTCTTCAGCAAGTTTACTCTTAGCTTTTGGTTCAAGTCGCTGATAGCGGAGTTAACGACCGAAGTTAACAAGACAGTTACCGTGTCTCCTCTCGATTTAATCTAACAAGTTCCATACTGCTCAAGGGCGATTTTGAAGCGTTTAGAAATTATGATTATCATATTTAACGTGACATGACGAAATGACTCGAAAGTTTGCTTCATCAGAACATGGATTAATGTTTAAATTCCGTAGGTGGTAGGCTAACAAGCTAATTAGTCGAGATTAAGTTAAAAATCAGTGCATATTTTTATACCATCGTATGGTATTAACCTTCAGCCTTATACCCAATTGCTATTGGTTTCCCCATCGATTCAAATCATTGTGCACTGATGACACTCGGAACCAAGTTCTAGCCATTATGTTACCAGCTAAATTCTTGTCTATTGTATTACTTAGCTTACTAACTTTGCTTAAGACAGTACAGATTACTAGTATGATTGTGATTGCTCACACCCTGTTGGCATGAATGTATATGATCCATTTTAGTTTGTCAGTCTGAGCTGACAATGTCCGTCTTGAAGTTGTGAAAGCAGTAACGTCCTCAGCATCTAACGTATGGATAGCGATTTTAGAGTTAGGTTCCTTTTTATGTTCGGATAAACCAATTTCAAATTTCTCTTTCGTTTTGGATCAATAAGTTAGGGCGTATCGATCAGTATATGTGTCAATTAGTCTGTCAAATCATCTATCGTTCATGTTTTCTTAGTTACGTGAGAAATCCATTTGAAACATGTCAGCAGATTGTTGGCAGAATCTCGGGGACGATAACCATTCCCTTGTCTGGGAACCATACATATTCCTTATGTAATCATGTAACAAGGTGAACACACGGGTCCTTGCCTGTTTACACTTCAGGGTACGGTTTTTAATAATCACGTAGCCAGTCATGACTATAGCAACCCCTAGGTCAGTCTATCCAGAGCACGTTGAATTGCCAGGCAATGAGGAAGTTTTGTTGTTTTGTTTGTATATCATTGAATTAGAAATCTTAAAGTTCCCGTTTCAATCAGCACTTGCAATGCACGCTTTTCAGTCATTGTTATTTCCGAATATATGACGATTCTGACATCTAAAATCCCAAGTTCATGTTGTACGAGTAAAGTTTTTGACTTCAGTTGACCGGACCAATGATAACTTTGTTTCAATCGACCGAAGGCATCAGTTGACAGGAAAGATGCCCACAGGTATATTTATGAATATTTACTTTCATTTGTTTGAGTTTGGTGACATCTCGAAGTTATCGAAATATGAATTATTGATAAATTTGTTCTGTTCAATTTGTATGGACTAAACAGAGAAGGTTATTTTGGATAGTTTCGTTATGCAGCAAATTAACTGACTACTCAACGATACCATCCACTGTTGTTGATCTTGCGAAATATTCCATTGTTGGGTTGGTTCAATCGTTACCTAACCATAGATCACAGTTAGTTGTATTTTGTTGTATATTGACGTTTCTGAACATTGTTATTTGGACTCAAGTTTGAAATATATGGTTATCATGTATCTCAGACACGCACATTGTGAACAGAGAAATCAACACCGTAGCGGCAATTTGTGTGGCCATAATTTTTAAACAACATTCCTTTCCATTCATTTGTAGTCGCAAGGGACATCTATCTTTAATCTTTGAGTTGTGCACTTTTTCAGATGTTGTAATCTTCCAGCTTAATTGATTAAACGGTGAAGAAGCTCATACTGCCAGTTTATGCGTTACGGCAATACAGACTCCCTATAAGATAGTTTGGAAACAGTTTATAATGACCACTCCAAATTGACCTATTCGAAATCAGTAGATTATGAAATGACTGTTGGAATTAGACTCAAACTCCTACAATGTCGCCGAGGTATCAGTGTTAGGTTGCTGATTCACTAAATTACAAATCCAGTGAGTGACACTCATGTTGGCTAAATCTGTCTCAGAATGAAGGAAGCTGATTTTGACTTTATAGGAATCGATAAAATGAAGTATAACTCTGTAAAAGAGTTTTCCATCATAAATTGACTGGCTTTGAATCGGTCAGAAACATGTGGGTAGTTTCTTGTTGTTATGGCCTTGTGAATTATTGCCACAGTTTGGAATTAAACCAAAATGTTTCACTCAGAAATCATCGGATGATGGAGGATATTCTGATTACGCATATATCAAGGCTGATTTCCGACTGAAAATTCAATTAGTTATCACACATTTTTCATTACGTGTCCATTTTGATTAACAGTGGCGTTGGTGGATTCCAGCGTGAACTGTTCGAGAAATCTTGTCCGGGAGGTCGATCCCCTGGATCATTTGATGGATTCCATATAAGATAGTGGGACAGGTGTATAACCGAGTCCAAATGTGAAGTTTCTGTGCTCCTGACTTGGCTTCGTAGCTTAGCTGGTACAGCGCTTGCCTCGTTGAGGCATGGTGCAAATGTCGCTGGTTCAAATCCAGCCGAAGCCCTGACTTTTCACAGTTGGGTCTCATCTGAAATTTAGTAAGGGCTTACTTATTGGGAGTTGTGATCAATTAGGCTAAGATTCTGAAGTTTAATAAACATATTCATGTTATTGTAAATTTGGTACTGATGAGTCAATACGAAATGCTTGCATCTACCAGTTTTCGTTTTCTGACTGTTTTGTTCAAACTTCTGAAGGGAATGAACTATTTCAAATATTCAAGAAAGTCAACAAGGGTTGCAAAGCTACGCTTCCATGTGATCTCTCTTCATATTTCTATCTATCAACATAGATTGTTGATAGATTGTTGTTCGGCCAAGATACTTGGAGGGAGTTGCTAATCTACAAATAAACATGATATAGTTAGAAAATGTTGCGAACATGGTATAAGTCAGGTGGAGATTGTGTTGACCATAAAAGCCTAGTAGTGAAAGTTTCCCAAGCTAAAATTGTTGACTTTCATCCTGACTCACACGTTGATGGTCACAAAAGTTCATGAGCAAACAAAAAGACAATTTGTCTCACCATAAACCTGTAAAAAACAGCACTCATCTCTTACGCACACTACTTAAATAAGAAGTTCGCAAAATAACACACTGAGTTTGCAGCAAACAAAGATGATTGTTTTTAAATTTGGGAAGGTATTAACTAATACATATGCAAGTAACATCAAAAACAAGATTTGAAAGTTGTCAGTGAGTGTTGTTGCTCGGAATTAATTCTGGAACTGCACTTATTACGTAAATGAATGCGTTATTTGTTATGTTCTGACTTGTATCCATCATAAAACTATTCACCGTAAACTGTTTGCTTATATGGGACCTTCATCAGGGGGATAATTTTTTCTTGAACTTCCGCATACTGATACGCTATCACATTGAGTCAACTATTCAGACGTGTCGGTCATTTCTTGTGTAAAACAGATATCTGATTTAACGCGTACAATTTGAGAAAACAAAGCGCGTCTCACTACTTCGTTCTCATTCAGGAGGTCTGTTTAAACGGTACCAAATTTTCATGTTCTATTGACATGTCAGTGATCGTCTTATTTTGACCTATGAAGTGCTACCGTACAACGTAGATCCAAATGTGTACGAGTTTTTTCAACTTTTAAAATTCCAATATGTTTAGTGCTCCCAAAATGAAAATACACACCAGCGCAGTACACCATGAACAAACAGCCAGCTAGGGATCAACATATTGGTAAACATTAATCTGTTGTTCTCTTACTAGTAAATTAATTTCGCCACTGGTGAAGAATAGGTCATCTGTGTTGTTGTTTTTCCACGATCTCTGATTGGATAGGTGCCAGACACAATACACACCACATGACTATTTAAAAATTACCACAATTGACTTTGTGTCTTTTGAACTTCAGGCCTATCCCAACGGGATTCCATCCACCCTGATCGATGAAATCTTTGACTATTGTTTGGACGTTTCGGACAACCAAGAAGAAAGCGGATCTAGAGGTGAGACAGCTGTCTTGCCACAGAATACAAGACGGCTTGTGACCATGTGCGTCGCTCGTCTGCTCGATTCGGAGTCGGGCAATTCTCATGCATCAAACAATTTTGATAGGGGCACATGGAGTGGACGGTAATTTACCGTAGTTTTCGACATGACTGTAAAAGGACAGTTTGTTTCCTGTCCTTCCGTCGAGAATCAAACCAATCGATAAAAAGCGCAGATAGTATTGAGTTGTAATGCATTAATACAACCTTTACAGTCAAACTATTTGAGCCTTTTTGTTTTTCTGGTTGTAAAGTACTTGACCATTACATTCTGGTAAAAACAGTTTTAAAAAATTGGGTTCACAGAAACAATTGCACGTCAGTGAACCGTATAAATAGCAAGATTGTTGATAGTAAAGTTTACTTGTGCACAAAATTAGCGAGCACCAGCTAGCGTCACTTAGTTAACATGGTTACCACACAGTCTTCGTTCGCCACAAACTGCACTTTTGCGTGTGTACTGGCCGACTATACAATCGCTCATAGTGAATTCAACTGTTCATGGATGTTATTCTACAGTACAAACGTAAAAATGCGGTTGATATCGAATGAAGGCTTACCCTTCGGTAGAGACTGACTATGTGTCCCTTAACGAGCCTTGTTCTTTCAGCCATCCATCGAGTTAGTACAACCCACTCAACTTGGCAAATGTGACTATCACAATACGAATGTTGTCGACCGTTTGGATTATGGATGGCTGACTGCTTAGTCACGACTTCGTCGAGGGAAGTTTAATGATGAACAAGGCATATGAATACTCAAGAGTGAACGATCTAATAATCGCATGGGCATTCTCTTATTGCTAGATAGACGGTGGTCTATTCTTTGCACGTACTTCTATCTATTGATATTTAAGAAGTGATATGGCCTTATCGAATCATTCACACCCACTGGATTCAGTCTCACCGGTGTAATACAGAAACACTTACTTACAATAAGGTTAGACAAAACTCACCATATGCCTCAAGGTAACCACATTCTGGATGGTCAATCTAGGCTTATACGGAAGTTTAAGTTGACTCAAAGCAAAACAATGCCTTCATCAGAAAGAAGTTAGATTGTGTCTTTCTTTTTCCGCTCAACCATGTACGGTGTTTAGAATTTGTCAATCGGAAGTATTGTGAGTTCACGTGAAAATGAAGAGATCACCATTCACCTAAGCTGTTGCAGATAGAGAAGAGAGTGTACTCACCTGGAAAGTACAGTGTCTCGAAAACGAGATGTCAACAGGTATGTTGATGCCAACTTACCCTGACCATCTGAGTCGTCTACGAGTGCAAAATGTGCAGTTGCGATCTGTTCTGCGTAGGCGCTGAAAACCGTCCTCTCCATTATTTTTCTTAAGCTTGCGTGACAATTTGACTCTGCCTACAGAAAAATGTGGATACTAAAGACCTATTGGCGAACCTTTTTGTGAATATCACAGTTTAAAATCGAACCCAAAATTTGTCAGCAAATGTCTCCAAAGTCCTCTCTCAGCCTTGTTTTAGCCACGTTGGCCTGAACGACCTAAACTGATTATTCATGGTGTGCGGGTGTTGTAAGGCATGAGGACAATAACGGTAATTTATATTTCAAGTTGAATATCACTCACAGTTGATCGTAACCGTCGCATTCAGACAGACATTCCAGCCGGTCTCTTTCAAAAAGAAGCACTAGACTCGCGTTTCACTCTTATTGGAGCTCATCAGTAGTGCATATCATCGCCACTGCCGGGACTAGAACCACGGCCACGCTATTCATGAGGCAACCGTGTTTACCACTGTGCCACTGACCTCACGTTGGACACGACAAAATTATCATATGTGAACACTCAACCACTTTTGCTTGTGAGTAAAGATGAACTTACCCGATCGTCACGAGAGGAGATACAATTACTGTCTAGTACTTCTTTTCGAAAGGGGTCGACTAGAAAGTCTATGGGAATGCAACAGCTGCGATCAATTATGGGTGATGTTCAATATGAAATTAACCAAAAAATCACCGACTATTCATCAGGAAATCTATGTGATCGGTTTGTGATACACAGAAGTCAAAATTTGTCTCTTTTTTGCCTACTGTATCAAAAAGAGGCTCACAGAAGTGTCAGATAACACGTTCCTCCTCTGGAATTGGTTCTGTTGTTTCCGCAGCATCTGCAAAGGATTTACTCCTTCACAGGTCAAAGTTGAAGAATAACAGACGAATTACGTCTTGTGTTTTTGAGAAGAGACATGTAGAGAACAAGCTAGTATTCGGTGTTTGATTGCTAGATAAAACTATGGTATTTATTCACAGGTTTCCAAAGCACAATCTCGTGTTTAGGTAGTAGGATCGCCCCGGAATGTGGTGCTGCAAAGAAAGAAGCATAAATCTGCTAATATGTCATGCGAAAGACAATCGCTTGATATCCTCGGTGTTGGGAAATAAAAAGAACCCGAGAAATGTTAAGCACACACGTTTTTCTTATCACAGACCTGAGATGAATCTGAAGCCACGCACGACGCTGAAGCATTCTTTCTTCTAGCCGAATCTATTCAACAAAAAGATAGTACTTGTGGTGGGAAAAACATCGAGTTAGCAGTACACCTGTCCCAGGTACTGAGAACTCTATTTGCGTCAAATAAAGCTCAGCTTCTTGTCTCCCGACATGATATTAATTGCTTAACGATTGACCTCATAAATCAACTAGGTTGTTTACATCGATGATGTGATCGATGGTATCAGCTAGGAAGATAGTCAATCACTTAAGTATTCTCACCCACATAATTCACCTTGTGATTAGTATGAGGTTTTCTGCTAGCTGGTGATGACGTTTAATGAGGTGTCAGCCTGCACTATCATATTCTTTACAACACGATGTTGCTTCCCATGAACCAAATAAAATCGTCTGAATAAGTCTCGAAGATTGAAGAAATAGCTTAGGTGATTATGCCCTTGTGCTACTGAAGCCTTCAGCCACAAAATTCGAGAGGTACAAAACGTTGGTGAGATTCATCTTCTGTTATCATAACGGCATATTTTAAATAACACTGTACTGGTAACCAGCAAGAGGACGCAAAAGAACCAAAAGTAGATGTCAAAGTTGACGTATCAATCAGGCGAGTTGTGGCAATCGTTGCTAGTCTTCAGCCAATATAACCTGAGGAATGGTACGAAGCTCTCTCTCTAAATGATCCGTTTTCAGTATGATTTGTAGGTTGACTCATATCAACGGCCATGCATACAATTAGTTGTATAGTGAGGAAGAACGATCGTGCTATACTACTCACACCAATGCTATTCAGTAGTGGAACCAGAGGATAGATTTTGACATTGAAGTAGCCGCAGGAAAAATACAACAAGAAACATCGGAGTGCAGCATCACATGAAATGGTACTTGGACAATAAAGGAGCTGAGCAGTGGCGTCTGTGGCAACCGTGGCGTTCTGGGACCAGTACCTTAAGCAGATGAGTGTTTTGTTTGTTGCCATGTTTAGACGCATAACTCATGCGTTTGATTCCTGAGTAA